CCTCCGCCTCGGGGCCCGCTCGCGCCGCGGCTGCCGCACCGGGAACCCGGAGGAGGGCCGGCTGCAGCGCTGCCTCAACGCGCTGTCTGCCTACCGCTTGGCCCCCTTTTCACACATTTTGGGGAGTTGTCGGCTTCATCCAATAAGCTGATCAAATTTTACATCCGATGTTGCCAGAGAGGATTATGGGGCAACTCCATGGTGTCGATCACATCCAGGGCGCCGAGCCGGGGAGGCCGGGGGATAGAGTGGAAAGAGCGCGGCCCTAGTGAGCAGGCGGACAGTGTGGACCCCTGCCATGCCCTGGGCACAGTAGGTGCCCGAGAAAAGTGTTTTCTGTGGATCGAAGCATGGAGAGAGGGAAAAAAAAAAAAAAAAAAATCAGGGAAAGCGCCCGTCCCCCCTCCCCTACACCCCCCGCTTGCGTCTTGGGCCTCAGTTTCCCCCAAGTGCCCAAAGAGGTGGTGGGACTATGTCTCTGGAAAGCACTTGCAGTCGTGCTTGAGAACTTTCCTTCTGTGCCTGCAAAGCACTTCTTCAGGGCTACTCGCATACTTATCAGATTCTAAGAGTAATGGTCGGAAATGGTATTGATTTCTCCCCCAGTATTCTTGCAGAGGTTTTTGTCATTTGAAAGAATGGGTTGGAGGGGGGGACTCGGTGTGTTTTACTCTCACGTACTGAAAATTGCAAGATGAAAAAGAGGAAAGAAAATTGAAAAAATGAAAGCCCAAACACAGGATTTTTCTGCTCTAATGTAAAAGTCTCTTTTTAGGAAAGAGGGGTTTTTTGTTGTTGTTGTTGTTGTTGTTTTTTAACTTACCTGATTTCCAACATATTAAAAATTCTAGCTACCTAAAACATAATTATACCAAAATTCAGCAAAAACGCCATGGGAAACTAACATCTTTTCCTTGGATTCAGGAACAAATCTCTTGTAATGATGCAATCCTTTTTCAGTGCAGACAATTCCAGAGCAAACTGTGTTCAAAGAAGAAAAAATATCACGGAGCTAAGAATAACACCAAAAATGGAAGGAACTAACGTAATCATTTTTTAAATTTAGGGGAAAAAAGTAGAATTTAGCAGTTTTTGTTGTTGAACATTTCCTAAGTATCTAGAAAGCCTAACAGACAAAGATAAAGAAAACTAAATCTAGCAAAATATGTTTAATAATTCCAAAGTATGAAATTAGTACATAAAATAAAATGATCTAATCATTAAGCTTTATCATCTTCCTTAAAAGAAATACATGTTTGTAAGCTAAATTTAAAAGAGGAGAGGGAATTGTGCTCTTTCTCTGCAAACCGGGCTTTTTCACGATTCATTAAACCCTTTTTCCATATGTGTAATTGGACTCTTCTCATTTACATAAACGAAGGATGAGGCAAAAACCTAAGATCAGCCCAAAAGGAGAGATATGTTTCTCATTTTCCTATGTGAAAAACAAAAACAAAAACAAAAAACCACAAGATTGTGGAAGAAAACTCAAAACAGAGCCCCCTTCCTCACCACCACTCCCGCCCCCAAACCTGAAATACTTTATGGCCAAGGACTTAGCGGGTTTGAGAGCTTTGACGGTTGCCCTGCACATGGTGCCTCCCAGTTACTATCAGAGGCACAGGTTTTTATTTTATTTTCTCCAAGTAAAAAGCTTGGACCAAAATGACTGACAGTGGGACAACATATTCTACTTTCTCTCCTCATTTCTGATTGGGTTAAAAACCAAGAAGAAAGACTGCACTGTCTTTTAAAGAGCACAACCCTCTGCTTCAGCTTGAGTTGTCTGGCTGGTATCCTCCATTCAGTTGGTTTCAGCACCTGATTAATTAGTTAATTAGTACTTAGAGCTGACTAGCCCCGGTCGGCAATTTTCATGCCCTGCCTGGTGAAATGTTGAATCCAGCATTGAAATTTCTGTGTCGCACACCCTAATTATTATCACCCCACTACTTTTAAAACCATTGCACCAAATTATTATTATAGACAGAGCCAGACAACTGTGTGGGAATATGTTCTTTCTGAGAAATAATGGTAGACTTAATCAATATTTTTCGCTGTTGCCCTTAACACATTTAAATAAAACAACTGAGTGGGATAAATTCTAATTCAATTAGCTTCCAACTCCTTCCATTGAGAAAATGATTTTATATGGGAGAGATGTTAGAAAAATCACACCGAAAATTTTAACAATGTTTCCCCATGTAGCAGAGTGTGTTTCCAAGATATCCTATCTGAGATTAGTTTTATTCCTATAAAGTCTAAAACATCAGGAATAAAAAAAAAATAGAAAATAGATACAAAAAGATCATTTTTACTAGCTAGAAGGAAATGATGCTATGTTTGTTTGTGTGTGGAAGGGACTTTTGATGTTTTAAAAAACCGACATGGTTTAGGCTTTTTACGGGAAAAAAATATTACTTGGCCGCTGCCCCATTCTTCCATAAATTTGATGTACATTGCTAAGGTTAAATATCAACCAGGGAAAAAAATAGTCTGGGAAAATACGTTAGGACACAAACCTAGAGCAGTCTAATTTTTAGCGTTTCTCAACATACCGTTACCAAAAAGGGCCTTGATGCATCAATGATTTCCAATATTATTGGTAGCTATTTTCACCTGGAAACAATCCTTATATATCAGAAGTGGGTTGCCTGTAATTGTAAGAGCTAAATGGTACACAAAACTGGATACACAACCACACAGACCAGTAAATGGGTCGGTCTGAAAGCAAAAGTAAACACCAACCTTAGGAAATGAAAGAAGTTAAAAGATAAGTGTTAAGGACCTTATTCTTTTTGGAGAATAAAACAAGATTTAGTAGCTTTCCACTTAATTTAAATGAAAAGAATCACTACCTTACATATTGCAGTGATAATGTAATGGGGAAAGAAAACAAAAAAGTCTTTGTACAAATGACACCTCCTATAGTTGTTGTGAAGAAACTTTTCCCCTTGGTATCTGCTAACAAATTCTAATTAATGCTGCACATTCCTTTACTGAAATCATTTAATGCGTAACAAGGGGGGTAAAAAGAAATGCTGAATGCTTGTGATTGCCCTGTTAGAATTATGGGAGTGAAAGCCTGGGGCCCCAAACTTACTGTCTATTAAAGCCAAGCTTTGAAAAAGAAATGCAACCTACAAAAGCTGTCAATCTCCCTTGCCCCTAAAGCCTGGGTTCACATGGATTCAAGTGACAGCCCTCCTCCCCCATGCACAATACATCAATCTGTCTCTCCCACAAGCACCCACAGCCCATTGTGCTGGCCGCAGGTGCCTATTATGGCACCCATGGCTGCCTCCCACAGCTCCGCCCCTGAGAAACAGGAACTGCAGACAATGGAGCCCTGTGGGAAGACAGAGGTGGGTGTTGGGAGGGATAACAGACAGATGGTAAAGGGTATAGGGTAGTAAGGTAGTTTCAAAACAAATGTCAAACATTCCAAATTATTGCTTTTGCGTGCCCCCCACCCCCTTTTGAATTGCCTTTGCTTCAATCACCATCTGCCATAATTATAAAAACACTTACCTGTTAGGATGAATATTTGCTCCCCTTTTTGGGTAGTGATGGAGGGGATGACCTTCAATACTCTACTGCTCCTATTTAGCCTCTAGGTTTTTCAAGGTCACAGACTGAGGAGTTTTAGTTAAGTGACACCGTAGACCTTATAGGGGAAGTAAAGAATATTTCTAATTTTTTTTTACAAGGTTTGTGATTTCCTTTCAAGCTTAGTTTGGAGCTTGAAAGGGGATAAGTGTTATAAAAACTAGTTACTTTGGGGTAACATATTTGTGGAATCAAACTACCATAGACTTCTTACAAATATCACACCAAGCAGGTGGAATGTGTAAGGCCATTTCTTTTCTAGTAAGGAGATACAAAAAGGGAGATGAGGTAGATTTCATAATAAAACTACAGAAGGTCTTTGACTCGGCCTCTTTTCCTATTCCCAAACATGTCAAAAAATAAGTAAAATAGTAGAAAATCACTTAATGCTTTTCACATCAAGTGCCATTATCAGAAAAAGTACATTTTAAACAGTTCGTTTTGTAAAATGTC